AGGCTGAGTCTTGCTCAGGAACCGACAATCAGCCCACAGACTCAACTCTTGGCCAAACATGTATGGCTTAAGTTTATCCAAAGTCCAAACAAATCAGATACTCCTTCTGGAAATAAGTCAAATTCTTTCCTTTGGAAATAATTTTTCAGAAACTTAAGAAAGCAATATGTTTTCTGTTCTCCAAGTTCTTGTAATCACATCCAGTTTTGTATCAGATGCACCAATGGTCATAATAAAAGATTTAGAAAAGTCTAAATCTTTCAAAATATATAAAGAAATCAAAGCTCATTTAAACTTTTCAGAAATGTTTCAGCACTGTAATAGTCAAAAACTTTAATGAGTTTGCCTCCTTTTTATAAAACAGCACAATGGACTGCCTACAATTCCAAAAAAGGAAAACTTCAGGGATCTCCCAAAGGACATGCTTTTTAAAAAGTTTTAATTTAGGGAGTTTGCTGATTTCTAACAAACTACTTTATTCCACAAAAGAATTGGATCTTGAATATTTGATCTTTGAAAACCCAACAGACTTTGCTAAATTTCATATTGTCCATGGATGGCTGCAAGCCCTAAACTGAATACACCCTCACAATTAGAGATGAGTTTTGTTTTTTTTTTTTTTAAATCCCTCCTTGAAATTCAGAATAAAAATAATAGAAAATTTCTGAATGTATTGGTGGATGCCTGTAATCCAACGTACTTGGGAGGCTGAGGATTGCAAGTTTGAGCTCAACCTGGTTAACCTGATGAAACCTTGTCTCAAAATAATAAATAAGTAAATAAGGCTATGGATGTATAAATACAAAGACCCTGAGTTCAATCCCTAGTACCATAGTAATAATTATTACCATAGTAACAATACTATTATAAATTAATCACAATGATATTATTAACATAAGACATATTTTAAGGGTATAATAAGCCTTCAGACATGTTTTATGAATTTGTAGGTGATGTATCTTGAGTTGATCTCAGATCTCAGCAAAGAAAATTAAGTCCACATGTGTAATATAAATAAGAATAATAGCTACTATTTGTTGACTAACTACTGTGTTTCAGACCCAGTACCACTAACTGTAAGTTCATTGTTTCATTAATTCTCACAGTAACCTGTCGAGGAGGTTCCAGTTACCCTGATTTTAACTATGAAAACCTTGAGGTTCAAAGAGTGGTGACAGTTGTTCAACATCAATCAGCAAGTATTTTAACTGGGATTTTAACCCAGGTCTTCTCAACTCCCAAAGATGCTGTTATTGGGATGAACAGAAGAAAATGGCCCCATAAAGTTGAACAAGAAGGCACCTAGCTGAGACACAGGCATGATAAAGTCTCCAAAAGTATTGAGGTGAACAATCAGCATGAGTTATCCAGACTGAAACATACCTGGAGGGGAGGAAAATATTCCTTAATGTCTCCTTAACCTGCTAGGTCAATCCCTTAAGAATACTCAATTCCCTTTTATCTAATTCAGTATTCACCAAGCCTTCTGATCTGATATCGATCTCCTGGGAATACTTTTCCATTGGAAGGTAGTATCTTGGTAATGACCAGGACAGAATACTGATTTTATTCTCTGGGAATAATAATAAGTAATAACAATAAAATAAGAAATATAAAGAAAATAATAAGTTGGCTAGACAGAAGATTAATTAAAGTCCTCAATGGGATAGTGGGAATCAATTCCTAAAATGATCAGTTCTGAATTAAAAATGGATTCTCTGATTCTACCAAACTAAGAACCAGGTGCAGAGACTGCAGTGACTTCCATTAAAATGCGCTTAGTCAACTGGCTCACCTTGAAACAGCCTCCCAAGGTCTCTAGCTGTCTTAATGACATCAATATAGAATCACTTTTACTAGGTGACATTAAAATATTGTCACATTGCCTATCCTTTGGCCAAATATAGCTATGGGATATATAAAGACAGTATATGCATCATTAGCCAGTTTTGAAAATGAATCAAGCAAGTCCCCACACAAAATTGTGTTGGAGAAGAACCCAAGAAACTCTAAGAGACTAACAAACCCATGGTCCCTTTTTCAAGGAAGTTAATTTTAGAATTCTTTTTGCAAACAAAATCCCATGGCTCATGCTGAGTGTGTTAAGTGAAGTCACCAGCAAGCTGAAAACCTATTAGTCTAGTGAATTCCAGGCAAAAATACTGTTTAAGTTACAAGTGAGTGAGACCATCTACTTGGCATGAAGTTATGGTGTTTTATAGGAAAACTTCTAACAGTAACAAAGAGTATACAGTGATAGAGACTGACTTATTCTGTCTCTCTCTCTGTCTCTGTATCCTTCTATGTCTCTGTCTCTTGTCTCTCCCTCACCGTCTCTCTCTCTCTCTCTCTCTCTCTCTCTCTCTCTCTCTCTCTCTCCTCTCTCTCTCAGATAAAAAGACAGTGGGTTGGTTGTTCCAGTGCAACTGAGTAGCTGAACCAGGTCTACATGACGCTGAAGAACACCTTGGTTTTAGAAACCTTGAGAAGCTTAGAGTGTATGACTAACCCTCCAGGAAGCATTTCAGTTTGCACTGTTAAATATTTTCCTCAAAAATGTTATTTTTGAAGCTTAAAATAGTCTACTTCTGAAATTTTATATTTGAATTTGTCCTTTGTCCAACTTATATTCAACTAAAGAACCTCCTAGTGTTTATTTGCAAACACGAAATATCTCAGTCATTAGAACCCACTTTCTGCTTGTGTTTTTTCTGTACTTATCACCAACCAGAAACATTTGCAAAAAGTACTTAAGAGTAGAGTCCTTTATTCAAATTGGAATTGTATTTTTTTCAATTTGTGTCTCTTTTCCTTAGTAATTTGCTTTTTAAAAAGATTTTTAAAATTTTTTTAGTAATTTGCATTTTAATGGTGGAATTAATCATGTTTGTAATTTACATGCCAAAGTTAAGTTTACTCATGAAACATAAAGTCAGAATTCCTCGCTAGCTTTTTATGGGCTGACCTTTAGCACCATCATTCTCTTTCAAGGGCACCATGAGTCTTCACAGAACTTAATTTTCTAAAACACTTGAAATGCAGAAGAGTGTAAAACTGAGAAATGAAATGACTTTTCCATACTTTCTTATTTAAAAATTCCAAAGTATTTGTGGTTTACACTCAAATGCATTAAATAAAATCTTAAAATATGCCTTGGAAACCAAAATTACCAATTATTAAGTGCTTATTTTGTACAAGTTTGATGTTAAGTATTTTGTTTCACCTCTCTTATTTGATCCTTACAGCAGTTTTTTTTTAGGTAGATAGTATTGTTTTGGGGCTGGGGCTTTAGCTCAGCAGCATAAGCACCTGCCTTGCAAGCAGGCAGTCGTGAGTTCGATCCCCGATACCGATAAAAAAAAAGATTAAAAAATTACAAAAAAAAGATAGTATTGTTTTATATTGATCTTCAAATAGAAGAGGAAAAATTTGCCTCTAATGTGCTTTATTTTACTAGTGGACAGCATCGAAGCACTGGATATAGGGAGTCTGGTTTTGAGCACTGATTCTAGTGCTTCCCCTGTATCCTTGTTCATGTCATTTCTCTTTAACCGTATCCCTAGGGCTTCAGTTTCCTCCACTGTTTAATCATTAATCATTATTAATGATTATCATTAATCTTTATAATGATTTTTATTTGAGATGAGTCCAACTTCCATCAGAACATGTTCCCTACAAACGGTTTTACAGTTACAGTTTTAATCCAGTGCTCCTTAAAGTCACATCTTTAAAGCATTTCCTTTTCAAAGACAAAGATCCTGGACAGAGATCATAGGTTAAATCCTGACAGTTAATGCTTTCATAAAGAAAGCTGATAGTCAGCTGAGCACAAGAAAGAATGTGGGTTGGAAACATCGTGGGTATTTCTGGAAGATTAGTGAGAATCTAGTGTGAAAATGCTCAAACCCAACTTCCCCTGAGTACATTTGTTCTAAACTCTGTTAGGCTCACGTCTTAAAAGGCAAAGAAAAAGGTTTAGCATGTTTAAAAGAGTCCATCTGGTTGAAGTGTGCGTGAAGAAGTGCTCAAGGACAAAAACCAAGAATTAAAAGAAAGGAAAAGGTCATTGTCAAGAGCTTGGAATTATTGCACAGGCAGCAAGGAGTGTCTGAGAGCTTGTTAGCAGGGACTGAAGATAGTTACACTTATACTGTTTATAGGACAGGGGAACTGGGGGGGATAAGGTGTGGAGGGTGGGAGCCACACTGTGGTTAGAGGCCCCTGCCATAATCCAATTAAAGAGATCACATGGAAATGGGGGTGGGGGCAGTAGATAGAAGGGTGCCATACTTCATAGGACATGATCAACCCCCAAAGTGGGGCCTGCTTCCACACCACAGACACCAGAGATTCTGAGAACTGGTGAGTGCCCTAAATTGACATCAGCTGCGAAATTACTGATGGCCTAAAAATACAAAATAAATGGAGGAGCCATCTTTGCCTGTGAGAACTACAGCCAAAAATAAAGCTGGCAGAGAGGCCTGCAAGCAGAGGTTCTGGTGGGCGCTGGCCTAAGCCTCTCAGCACCTCCTTCCTTGGGAAAAGGTCACTGATAGCCAAGGGTCCCGTGTTCTGTTCTTCATTCTGCTACTGATTTAGTGCTTCCCCGAATCATTTATTTCTCCTTTTTTATGTTGGACTAGAGAATTTCAGTTGCCCTCAATCACCAGGATCACAGAATCTTTCCACATACCACATTTAATATTTTTTAATTGGACCAAAACTTTTCCTCTTATCTGTGAATCCCATTATAATGCACAGCACCAATCAGGGAAGGAGTGCAGGCTGCCATATCTGGATCTGGGTTTGGATAAGACAAAGCCAACAAGCCTCCTCCTTGAGCATCACTGCCTTGCCTGCCACCATCACGGCTTTGCCTTCCAGACAGCATCCAGCCTCGTTCCCACGGCAACCAGCACGGCGCCCACGTGTGAGCTCAGGACCGCAGAGGCCTCAGCCCCGCCCTACCCCAGCCCCCCACCCACCCCCGCTGCCCCCACCCCCGCCTCTCCCCCTCCCCCGCTTGCAACGAGCTCCTCCAGAGGAGGGAGGGGGCCCGGTTGCCAAGGAAACTGGAGACGCCAGGCAGCCGCCCCTGCCGCCTCTGCCCCTAGAAAGGCCAGCACCCGCGGGCTGAAAGCTGCCTCCGCGGAGGAGGAGGAAGAGGGGCTGATAGGAGAGAAGACGTGGGTGGTGGAGGAGGAAAAGCAACTCGGGGACGGCCCCCGCGCGGTTGATGGGCGGCCCCTCTCTGCCCTGAGCAGGCCCGCCAGCCCCGGCCCTCGGCATCGGTAGCCCTTGGCAGGGGAGAAGCGCGGACCCGCAAGGTAAAGGGCCTGCCTGCTGCAGCCTGGCCTCACAGACCCGGGTGTGTGTGTGTGTGTACAACTTGTCTTTCCTACCGGGAAGATTCATCCCTCTGGCCGACCTCAGCCCCTCTTCGTTTTTTCTGCCTTCGTTTTTCTGGCCGTTTGCAGACTGGCAACCGCCTCATCCCCTATGTACAGTAACTTCAATGATAGCATCGAATTACTTGTCAAACCTATGGCATTTCCTCCCAAAGATTTACAGCTGCACACTAAGTCAGTCTTTTCTCTCTGAACTTGATAATCAATATGTGATCACTCACCTCTGTTATTTTTACAACCTAATTTAGAGTCGCCAGAATAAACAAGCCGGCTACCTGTCCCAGTGTTTTCCTGGCACTTGCCATCTTGATTTCTTAAGCCGAATTGGCTGGAAGGGGCAAAAAAATCTCCTGCTCCTACAATTTCTCCTCTTCTTGTTCTCTCATAGTATTCAGGGAGTATTAGGAAAATTGGGCCCAAATGAAGACATTTTTATAAGCTAAAGTTCAAAAATTCTAAGATTTTTTTAAGTTAAGATTGAAACAAATTCTGTAATCCTTGTCATTACAAATTAATTATGGGAAAGGTTGAAATCCTTTTCCAGGCACCGAGATGTAAAAAGAAGGGGATTTATATATCTGATTGTCAGGTATTAACACAGCCATTTTGTTTCAAAAGAACTTTCAGCCTTAAAAGGAAGTTAAATTTACATTTTGCTTCATTGTCTAAACCAACAAAATATCACTAACGATATTTCTAATATCAAAATATAATAAGAAAACAGAATAATGGCTTACTTAAAAGACATTTCAAGTCAGCCTTTTGACAAATGTGGCCATAAAACAGGACAGTGTACACACTACACACACACACACACACACACACACACACACACTTTTTTTTCCCCAAGAGAAATGAAAGGAATGCATTCTGCAATTAAATTCTCTTCTCCTTAGTCAGGGAAACTTGGTTTGAAGTCATTGAAAATTTATACTGGAGAGAAATTCGTATGTCACAAAGTTCTTAGAATATTCCTCATTGAAATTTCACAGATGTGTAGAATTTTGAGGCCAAGAAGAATTATTTGCTGTGGCTTTTAGCATCACAGACTCCCTTCTCCTTCCCCACATTTCTCCTCCTCTCTTTCTCCTCCCCCCTACTTAATATGACTTTCTACACTGATTTCTAAAGCACAGATTTTTCACAGTACATTATTGCCAGAGACTTAAAACAAGTGTGCATTGCTATGAGTGGATTTCAAAATGAGAAGCAGTTCAAAGGTGAGCAATGGAAGACAACACAGAATGCTATTTTAGAAATTAGGGCCTTGCCCACATTTTATTATCATTCTGCTCCACTGCTCACCCCCTTCTATATTTGCTGAGGAAAAACTCCTCAAATGGCCGTCTGGTTGAGTAGGCCCACAAAGATGAGCTCCAGGAGTTAAGCATTATCTCACCTGGATTTATTTCCACACAGTTGTTTCTGTTTCTTGGTCAACCTGGTCAGTTCTTCAGAGCTGGCGTACAGTGCAATGTGGAGAATATCTGCCTAACCTGAGATAACCTACCATCTCCTTAATCTATCTCTAGTAGTCTGTTTCCTCTAGTTTTACAAAGTCTTGATGTATTTAAATAGGAAATTATATGTGGTACTATGATGCTTCCAAGCATTTGTTTTATAGTAAAATATAAAGTAATGGAGAGTTTATGGGGAGGAGGAAGACACTTTTGTAGGCATTTTGAAGTCCTTTATTTGGTTGTGAAGTCAGGAGCAACCTAGCTAGTTAATCAAATAGTTATTTCCTGGATCTTTGAACAAAATTATTTCATACCTCCTGACTTAGAAACCTTTGTAAAATAACAGAGTTAACACCATGATAGGTTAACTGGTTTTGCTATGTTAACTTTTTGTAACCACAACGTATCATCCAAGTAGACTCTCAACTATGCCCCTTTAGAGACTGTTAACATACTCTCACTATAATTCCTTATGTTCTCTACCTGATTAATATTCAGACAGCCTTCTCTTTCCAACAGGAGCAACAGGGGTCTCCCACAAGGGTTTAAAGATAATCTTTAAAATGTGCTCTGTAAATGACTATTAAAATGCTGAAGAGACGAGATTTGGGTTTGGTTTACAGATTGTGCATTGGGTTGTAATTTTAGATTCTGTCTCTCAAAGACCCTCATTCTGTCCTTGAGATTACTCCCAAGGGACCAGCAAAAGTTGTTCCTATTGCTCAGGCACAAATGATAAACCTTGCAGGATTTCCTAATTACCTGACCAGACACTAGATCACCGTGAGTCAGGAACAACATGACTTTGCCAGTATCCTCTCAACTGAATAAACTGGAGGAAGGGAGTCACAGAGTGCAACACACCCGAGAGTTACGACATCTGTCTCAACCTGCTCTTCCCCCAGAGCCTAGGGGAGCTTCTGTCACACTGTAGTCATTAAAAATATCAGGTACATAGAGAACTTCACTGGACAGTAAGCAAGAATCTTGTGGGGGCTTTGATGACCTAGAGAAGAGGTTTGGCCATTACATTAACAGTGCCATTTTGTAACTTTATGAGCTTTAATAATAGCCATAAATTTAGGTCACACTTCTTGGAAGTATGGTCTCTCTTTCTTCCCTTCCTATTTACACACCCTGCTGCAATGCCTTTTGAGTTCCATCACTACAGTATCTGCTCTCACAGGGGTTATTACTTACCTTCTCTGAAATTCTCTCTCCGCATTTATAACACAGCACCCACCTGCTTTACCCTGGGCCTCTTTGCAGAGCTATTCTTTGGCTGCCTGCTCCTTAAATTTTAGGGTTTGTCCCAGTTTGTCCTGTGTAAAGCATTTTTTCTTTCTGGTATCCATTCAATCCCATTTGCCAACAAAATGCGAAGCCCTGCGTCTAACTGCTTGCCTAACCCTTGCATTTGCAGTACCCTAGACAGTTCAAATTCCACACTCTTTCCTCATCAACGTGCTCCATTTCTGCTTTCTGAAGGCGCTGTTGGCATCACCTAGCCTGCTGCTCAAGCCACTAACCTAGGCAGCTTCCTTGATTCTTCCCTCCCTACAATCTCAGAGACCTGGTGATTTTCTTTGAATTTACTGTGCTTAAACACTGTGGGCACTGGAACCTCCCTGGGACCTAGTCCCAGTTCTTCCATTTAGTAGTTCTGTAGCTTCATGCCAGTTATTTAATTCCTATGTGCCTCAGTTTCCTCATCTGTAAAATAGAGGTGTAAGGTCTTCCCCTAAGTATTGTCTTGAAAATTAAATGAATTAATATGTGTAAATGCTTAGAAGAGTGCCTGCAACTTCCAGAGACTGGCAAATAGCAGCTCAGGTCACGTTTCCCTCCCTGTCCCCTTTTCTCTTCCATCTCCTGTGTCCTCCCACCTTTACGACACTGTCTGACCAACATCTCATCTCATCTCTATTGTTATCCCGTGTTCCAGTGGTCTTCCCTTTTCCATATTTTAATCTATACCTCTTACACCATCCATTCTCTATACTACAAATGGATCTTTTAAAACACAATCTGATCATTTATTTGCTAGATTGGAACTTTTCGTGGCTTCGTATGACTCTTCCAATGATGACCTTCCAGGCTCCCCATGAGCTGGCCCCTGCCAACTCCTCACCCAACTGGTGTGCTCACCACACCCATTTCTGCTCCTGCTGCCCTGCCCCTGCCCTGTTCCTCTTTGGTATGTGCCACTTCATGCTCCAGACCCTCTGTACCTGCCCTTTCTGTTCTATTTCTTGCCTTAGTTAACCCCTCCAGACCAGATTATGCCCTTCTTTCCCAACACTCTAAGAACACCATATTCTACTCCACAGCACCTATTGGCATTACGGTTCCCATATCCAATGTCATGGTTCTCTCCTAGACCATAAGCAACACGGGGCAGAGAACATGTCTGTCTTGCTGATTGCTGTGCTCCAGTGCCTATTATAGTGCCTGGACTGAAATAAGTATTCAGTAATTATTGTATAGATGATTTTAAGCCATGTAGGGCTTCTAACTTTGATAACTGCTAATTTAGTGTGGCTCTCGGATTTTCTTTTCTGTCACATTGTAGAAGTGCTGCTGAATCAGGGGGCTGTCAACCTAACTTCCTGTGAATAACTGGGACAAGATCACTGAAGCCAGCTGATGACTGCGATTGCATTATTTATGCCTGGAACAGGAGGGCTTGAAGGGTTGCAACAGCAACACAAGAAGCCCTTCAGTCTGAAAGGAGCATCTGTGCCTTTCAAACAATAGCCATTAGATTAATAAGAGAATAAAAGCAGGTATACTAAAACCAAATACGACAAAGACATAAAAGAGTCTGTCACAGCACATTTATTTCTCTTTCATATGCAGGTCAGGGATTAAGAATCATGCTGCATGAAGCAAAGGACAGGCAGAAGTTCTTCAGTGATGTACAGTATCTACGGGACCTGCAGCATAAGGTGGACTTCGAGTATCAGGTAACTGCAGAAGGCAGGGATTATCTTCCACCTCCTCTGCCAGTGTCGGAGATAATTCAGCACCCAGTATGAGTATGTGCCAAACAGTTATCGTTTTCTAAAATCACCCCTTACTAATGGGGTAGCCATGAAAAACCGCTTCATCTTTCTGGAACTCAGTTTCCTCATCTGTAAGCCGGGGACCTGTATGTTGTCATGATTCTGTCAAAAAATGGAGTGAGATAAACATTTTTCAAGTATTTACTGCAGTGTGTGGCACACAGCCCTTGGCAACAAATGACAGTGGGGTTCAGTTTTGACAAACCAAGACGAATAAAGATTCTCTTTAAGGGGTTAACTAAGCCACTCAATCATTTATAAAATAACATACTTTTCTGTTGTCATGGAGGCCAGAAGAAAGGTGGTTAGCACATTCTTCAATAAGCTAACTATTGGTCTCTGTGGTTACCATGTTTACATCCAAAAACAATGCAGACAGAGAGCCTGAGGGCCCATGATGCAATTACCCGGGGCTGGCCTAGGACAAACTGGCTAAACTGGGTCATAGGATTCTGGGAACAGTTAGAAGGTGTCATTCATGCCATCTTGCCAGAGATCAGGCCTCACCAATCAGAGAGGCCTGGCTTCAGGCCTGATGGAGGGCTGAAACGCACTCCTTCCCAAAGGAGAACACGGATCTGCCTTATCAGGTTTTTCTCCTCCTTAGCAATTTCAAATATAACTGAACCTCCTGGATCACCAAGGAAACCAGACCTATCCCAGTAACCCGATTTCACCTGTATAATACAGCTTTGCTTTGGGGCTAGAAATGGAGTTAGCAATTTCCTCCCACAACTTGCCAACCCACATGCAAGAAGACTATAAAATCTGGGGAGTTTCTGGAAAACAAATAAGAATGTAAACACTGAAACTGGTCACCCTGGTAGTACATCTACTATTCATAAAGATGCCTCTGCTATCCAGCTTGTGTTTGGAAATAATTGTTCGAGGTGATCTGTGGAATAAGCACATAAGAAAATCTCACAGCCGTGTGATTTGGAGCTGTTGGAAAGGAGCCCCGAGACTCAGTTTGTCAGTGCAGATAATAAAGCACTCAGACATCAACAAATCTTGACAAGACTTTTATTTTTACTTTTCCAAAAGGGCACAACCCCATCCCAGCAACAAGGTAGCAGGTGTGCAGAACAAAGGAGGATCACTCTTTTTACCCCTAATGCAGGAAGGGCAGCCGACTTCTCTCCCATTGGCTGGTTTGGAGGTTCACAGCCCATCCCAACTGGGTAACTCAGACAGCAGAAGGGGAAGTTGAGGGGCTGCTGAGGGGAAGGGAAAGCAGAGTGGAGGGGGACGTGGAGAGCAGAAAACCCTTGACCATGATAAGCTATCTTTGGTTTGTGGCTGTTCCCAGGATTGGAACTGAGCAGGCATTTTCTGTAACTTAGTGTGTTCAGGAAAAGCTTTCTAGAATGGGCTGGAGTCCAAGATGGAGTCACTCCTGTTTGATAGAAAAGACAGAACTCACAGTTTCCCACTGAGCCACTGCAGTGATTTCCTAATCTCAGTTGGACTTTCAGTGTGCCTTTCCATTCATTCAACCAATATTCATTAAAAACCTGCGATATGCCAGATAAGGTCCCTGCTCTTCCAGAACTCTAGAGAAAAAAAAAAAAAAAAACATACACAGGTAAATAGATGTATAAGACAGTTTTAGCTACTGCAGTTGTTTGGGTCTAGGATGTTTCCCAAAGGCTCATGTGTAAAAGACTTGGTTCCAGGCTTGGCATTACTGGTGGCCTAGTCTGAGGTCTGATGCCATTGGGAGAGTACCTGGGACAGTGACCACCCAACCCCTTCTCTTTCACTTTCTTGCTGCCATGAGGTGAATGGGCTTCCTCTGCCGTGTGCTCCACCACGATGTACTGTGTCTCCACAGGCTCAAAGCAAAGGAGTCAATCAGTTATAGATTGAAACTCAAACTCGTGAGGCTTTTCTCTCTTTAAATTAACTTATCTCAGGTTTTTGTTACCAAGACAAAAAGCTGGCATAGTGGCTGATAAATACACGAGGAAAATGAAACAGGTGGTGATGCCTTTAGACAGGCAGGGGAAAGGCCTCTCTGAGGAAGTGAATGAGAAAGAGCCCACCACAGCATTCCAAGCAGAGGAAGGCAAGTAAGTACCGGAGAGAGCAATCAGCCTGGAAGGTTAGAAGACACAGAAAAAGCCCAGAGTGACTGAAAGACGTTCATCAAGGGAAAGTACAGAAGATAAGGAGCTGGAAAAAGTCCATAGGGCCAGATCATGTTGGGTTTCAGAGGACAGCTCTGGGCATTTAAATTTGATTCTCACCCAAGAATTATTGGGTAGTTTTAAGCAGAGAGAGCAGAATGATTGACTTGCTCCCCTCATCCCAGTACCGGAGATTGAATTTAGGGTCTTACACTAGACAAACATTTTGTTACTGAGCCCCACTCCTGGAACACACACGCCCCTCTTTTAATTCTCAGACAGGACCTCACTAAGCTGTTCAGCCTAGGCTCAAAGTCTTGATCCTCCTGTCTCAGCCTTCCAAGTAGATGGGATTATTGGCATGTGCCATTGTACCCAGATTGACTTACATTTTTAGAAGATCACTTTGGCTTCTGTTGGGAAAGAACTATAAAGAACAAGTGAAAAAACAAAAAAAAATTTTTTTTTTAAGGGAACTGATGGAAATTTGATAGAAATATTTTGGTGACTTGGGCCAAGTTTTAAGCCTGGAGGTGGCACCAAGTGGCCTGACCCAGAAAACAGGAGCAGAACAGCCCTCTCTCCAATAGATGGAGGCAGGGTGGGGTGGGGTGGGGTCAAGGGAGTGAGGAAAGAGAAGAATAAGGGATAAGCCACTTCAGCACAGTCGTCCATCTCCTCCTTCTGTCATTATCCTCACAATTTTAAACCTTTTCCCTCTTCAAGCTCCAGCTCCCATATATCCAACCATCTTTCCCCTTGTTTCACATGAATATGAAACAAAACAAAAGCTCAGAGCCAGCAGGCGCAAACCCATCCAGCTTCCTGCCCTTCCGTCCCTGGATCCGCACTCCCAGCGCTCCAGCTTGAGGGCACAGAATGACTCTTCTTGCCAGAGCCCAGTGTCTTTGCTCTCCAGCCTCTCCCCACCCAGGGGCCTCTCGTTTGTGTCTTTGGCCTTCTCTTCTTATTGGCTCAATCTACAGACTTGCTTTAGCCTTCTACCAAATGAACCAAAGAACAGCGCCTTCTGTCGCCTGAGTGCCTTTGTCCTGCCGCAACCCTGGCTCCTTCCTGTTTCATCTCAGATGTCCCCAAAGATTCAGCTTCATTTTTAGCTCCACTTCTTGGCCTCCCATTTGTTCCCTAACCACCGCCTAAGGTCAGTAGTCCGATTCAGTGGGCACCTTTCAAGTCTTTGTTTTCTGAAGCTTTATCTACATTTGATGCTATTTCTCATCCACTTGAAAAGTTCCTCCTCTGGCTTTCTGACATCACCTCCCTCCCCGACTTTCCTCCTGTTCCCTTCATTTTTCTTCATCTTGTTTCCACATTGCCTTCTCCCTGCCCTTCAATGCTGATCCCCTCAGGCTTCCATCCTCAGCCTAGTTGGCTTCTAAAAATTCACAAGGTCCCTGTTGCTCATTTTGTCTGCTCTCATGGTTTTAACTATCTCTGTATTCTAGTGATTTGTAACTGGGGTCTCCCATAAATGTTAGAATTATTTGCACACCTGCTTGTTGGACATAATTTCCATCGAGATGTTACAGAGACATCTCAAACCCAACATGGTCACGGTGCCTTCCATGGCCACCCTGGCCCCTCCTCCTATGACCTAAGCCATCCCTGACTCCTCCTCCTCCCCTGTCACCCATATCCCAGGCTGTACCAAGTCCTGCCAAGTTCATCTAAGATTTCATATACTTGTACTTTCATTTTTATTTTATTGCCATTGGTGTAATTAATAACTTTTAGTGAACTTACCAAGTGTTCAGCCACAACAATATTAAGCTTTGGAACATTTCCACTAGTCCAATACATAGAAACCTTTTTATACCCCCTGCACAGAGTGTATGAGGGTGTATTGAAGTTGCCTTTTGTGTGACTTCCTCTCCAACTGAACAGCAGCTTCTTAAGGGCAAAGGCTAAGTCTTCTTTTCTATGCTGAAAAAAATGCCATGTCATTCATGAAAGCCAATGTTACCCAACTTGATCACCAACTGGGTTTATCAGACTTAGATTCAGCTGGTTTGCGACTATTCCACAAAGTCAAATCCACCCTTGCTGAGCATTCTTAAAACCACTTATCGAAAGGCCTGCAAAAAATAATGTTTTTTGTTTTTGAGACTGGGCTTCCCTACACAGTTTAAGCTGAACTTGAACTTACTTTGTAGCCAGCCTGGTCTCAAACTTGCAGTGATCCTCCTGCCTCAGCCTCCTGAATGCTGGGATTACAGGCATGAGCCACCATGCCCAGCAAATGTTTGCCTTTAAGATGTTCTGAGCACTTTTGAAGTAGACATGCGGAGACCCACAGTAACTACTTCAGAGGGAACAGCAATAATTTTTGAGTTATATTATTAAATGTATCCCTGCTTTGTTCCAGGCAGGATTTAAAACAATGACTTAAGAATCAATTGCATGACTTTAGTGACCCTTCCATAACTTGGTCCACATATGGCTGATGTATATTTAGATAATTTACTAAGGTAGATTTTATGTTGGATAAGTGTTGATATTCTGGGTCATGGGCTGACCAGCTCCTTCCCATGGAAATCTAGCTTTCTCTCTCAGTTCAGCCATCTGTTTGGAACACCAAGGATTCTGCATTTCAGAGTATACAAATAGTGCAAGACCCAAAAACTAGACATGACTCCCAGACATACACTTTTGCCACATATTTTTTTCTTGTGCTTGACTTGCCTTTAGTAAACTAGCCCAAATTGAAGCCCTTAGAAACTTCCTTTGTAAACTATTCCTGCTCCTTCCTAA